AGTTGGCCATTAGGGACAAATTGTCCCCCAACACTTAGTATATACCAACACCAGGTGCTAAATAAGTATGTGTTGGAAACTTACTGAATAGTTTGGCGATCCTACCATGGGCCACAAGAAGGCCAAGGAGTAGATGGTGCTCTACCATCTGCTTGCCCCTGTTAGTGTTGCAAAACTGCCAGATGACTTGTCAATTTACAATCGGTCTTTATTTCCAGATAACTTGAACCACCAGAGAGGGCAAGGTGTTTCAAAAACACAATTGGCTCTTTTGTGCTGCCTCTTCCATGTCTAGAAACAGTACAAAGCACGGAAGGCCACACACACAAACAGATCTCGGTTCAAGCCCTTTACTGGGTATGTAAGTTAGCCTTCCCAATATCGTTACGCACATGCACAACAAAGACAGCTTCGTGTACCTCAGAATGTTGCAATCCTGTCAATGCAGAGATCATAACACTAGCCCACTGAACACTGGCTCCTTTCGCTTCAAGTCATTGCCGATGAGGGAAGTAATGGGAAATAAGTCCCGAATGTTATTCTGTTCCCAGTACCAGGAGAAGCCTGCCTACTGTAGAGACTAGCTCTGACAGCAATCTGGGCTGTGTGAGACCCATGTGGCCAGAGAGGATTCCTTCGAATTATCCAACAGAGTTTTCCTCATCATAATTGATAGTTCAGGTTAAATGGCAAGCTGAAAGAGCTTGGTCAAAACCCCAGGGACAGCAGCAACCTGGTAAAGGACTTGGATCAAGGCCTAGATTCCATTCAGAGTCTTTTTCCCAGATGAGCCCATAGGCCCCGGCAAAATCCACTGGGATTTCCAGCCCTCTGTGAAAACAGATGGGCCCAATCTGGCCCCCAAGGCCACGTACACGAGTGGATGCAGAGATTGCGTCTACACAGACTTCTAGCAGGTTGGGATTCTGATGAGCTTGTCAGAATCTCAAGTGAACACTCCAGAGTCATCTGCTTCCTCTACTACAGGTTTCCCCATGCACTGCTCAGGACAGCATCTTGAGTTTTCATTAAATTCTATGGAGCACAGGAAGGAATATAAGTGAGTGCAATTCCCTACTTGCCCCAATGTCAGGGGAGAGAAAAGCCCCTGGAAATAAAAAATCTGATGCTGAGGGATATCCCAGCATTAAAGGGCTACAAGCTCTCGGTGTTCTCCATCTGCGGGCTCAGCTCTGCCCCGGGACTCCTCCTCCCTCACTTCCCTCAGGGCTAGTGTGGAATCCAATGGGATGCTCAAGGGCCCTCCTGTCCCTGCATCAGCAAGGGCTCAGGTCCTGACCCCCACCTGCACTGCAACTCAAGTCTCAGCAGCACTAGTAGTAGGTCATGTGTAAGAAACATCTTCCCTCAAGGCAATTTTTTTGTTTCAATCACTGGCAAGAATCTTCCTACCAAAATTTTCTGACATGTCTTTCTCCCATTCCATCCTTACAAAAACCGACTGGAGAGCCTTTGGAGACCTAACCAAACCCAATCACGGGACAGATAAAGTCCCTAAAGGTGAGGGGGGAGGGATCCCTGGGTGGCTCAGCAGTTCAGTGCCTGCCTTCGGCCCAGGGCGTGATCCTGGAGTCCCGGGATCGAGTCCTACATTGGGCTCCCTACATGGAGCCTGCTTCTCCCTCTGCCTGTGTCTCTGTCTCTCTGTATCTCTCATGAATAAATAAAATCTTAAAAAAAATAAAAATAAATAAAGGTGAGTGGGAAGAAATATTCTGTCACACTGAATCAGATGAAATTGCCAACGTTCAGCCCTTTTTAAGCTACAAACGTAACAATTTCATATGGTTTAACCTAGCTTCTATCCTAACTTTCTAAAAGGCTCAAAATCGCTACCCATATGCTCTGAAAAACAGTTATAAGCTACTGCTGCAGCTAGGTGCGACCTCGAGGTACAAAGTCCATGGGCTTCTAATCCTCTGAGATCACTAAGAGAGACCAGTTGCTGGGCCATAAGTCACCTTGGTAGATTCCCAAAGACTGAAATCTTATCCAACAGAGTTGTACTTTCTGACCACAATGGAATTAAATTCGAAATCAACATGACATGTTGAAAAAGTCCCAATAACCCATGAGCCAAACTATGGAAAGAGCCCAGATGTCGATCAACAGATGAACTGATAAAGAAGATGTGATATATATAGATATAGATATACAGATACACACACACACACACAATGGAATACTACTCAGCCATCAAAAAATTAAGATCTTGGGGTGCCTGGATGGCTCAGTGGTTGAGAGTCCGCCTTCGGCTTGGGCAATGATTCTGGGGTCCTGGGATCGAGTCCCACATGGGGCTCCTCACAGGGAGCCTGCTTCTCCCTCTGCCTATGTCTCTGCCTCTCTCTGTGTGTCTCTCATGAATAAGTAAAATATTTTTTTTAAAAAAATTGAAATATTGCCATTTGCAATGACGTGGGTGAAACTAGAGGGTTTTATGCTAAGGGAAATAAGTCAATCAGAGAAAGACAATTATCATATGATCTCACTCATATCTAGAATTTAAGAAACAGCGGATCATAGAGGAAGAGAGGGAAAAATAAAATGACAAAATTAAAGAGGGAGATAAACCATAAGAGTCCAAAAAACTGAGGTTGGCTGGAGGGGGGCGGTGGGGGGACGGGGTAACTGGGTGATGACGGGCACTAAGGAGGGCACGTAATGGAATGAGCCCTGGGTGTGATGTGAGACTGATGAATCACTGGCCTCTACCTCTGAAATCAATAATACATCATCTATTAGTTAACTGACTTTAAATTTATAATATGTATTTTTTAAAAGTAAAAAAAAAATTACTTAAAAGAACCCATGGGTCAAAAAAGAAACTACAAAGTACATGAGAAACCATTTTGAATTGGCTGAAAAAATACCAACGTTTGTGGCATGTAGTTAAAACGGCACGTAATGAAGAAGTCATGCCTTTAGAGGTTATGTGGCAAAGTAAGAAAGCTTAGAAACCACTGATCTAAGTTTCTACTAGATCTACTTTCTACTTACTAAGTTTCTAGCTTAGACAAGCTAGAAAAGGAAGAAGAGGGTAAAACCAAACTAAGAAGGAAGAAAATAATAAAGAGGAGAAATTGATCAAATAAAAACAGACAACAGGAGAAGGGGAAAAAAAAAACCCAAAGCCAATTGACTGTAATAGATAAATACAATCATTAAAAGTCTAGCTACGCTGATTAAGAAAAAAATAAGATGGGAATTATTAATAGCAGGAATGAAAGACAGGACACCACCTCAGAGTGTCTGGATATTTTTTTTAAATGGTAAGGGAATTCTACAAACTACTTTATAACTTGACAACTTGGAACAGCAGTCGGCAAGTTCCCTGCTGGCCAAATCAAGCCTCTTACCTGTGTTTACACTTTTATCAGAACAAGCCACACACATTGGTTTATGTATTGTCTCTGGCTGCTTTTGGACTATAAAGACAGGGTTAGGTAGTTGCAACTGAGACCATATGGTCCACAAAGCCTAAAGTATTTACTATCTAACTCTTGATTAAAAAAAAAAAATTTACTGACTTTTGGAGGAGATGAAACAAATTCTTTGAAACACACAAATAACAAAATTGATTCAAGAAGAAACAAAACATCTGAAAAGCCTATCTACTAAAGATACTGAATTTATAGTTACAAACGTTCCCACAAGGAGCTCAAGGTCCAGATAGCTTTTCTGGTGAATTCTCTCAAGTTCTGTCAAATACCAATCCCACACAAACTCTTTCTGAAAAGAGAGGAGAAGGGAACACTTCCCAATTCATTCTGTGAGGCCTGATAACCAAAATCAGAGAAAGACAGCATGAGAAAAGAAACTCTGGAGATAAGAAACCAGCCTCTAAAAATTAGCACCGAGCTGACCACTGCATTCTGACGGACAGTTTAAACAAAAACCAGAGACTAAATCAATCTAGTCGATATCAATATTTGAAGAACAAGAGATAAGACGACCTGGAAACAGCATACCATTATACCTGGGGCCTGACCTTGCCTCTTAAATTCCTGTTCCAGAGGGGATGTCCCACCTCCGTCCTCCCCACAGCTTGTAAGGCGATTTCACCCTCAACAGCAGGGGCAGTAAGAAAGGCCAATGGCCCCTTGGCCTTAACACCGTTTGCCTTGCAACACAGAATAAAGCTCTGCCCGCATCTTTAATGTTCAAAATAGTGTCACCAGAGCCAAATACCTGGCAACGTGGCACTCATGTCACAGGTAAGTCTCTCCATGTCCCAACTAGACTTAGGTTGTTGTAACACAAAACCGAGCAGTGGCACCTTCAAACCTTCTTCGCAAGCTCACTGGCACCCAGCACCATCACGGCCGTGTGCACCTGTGGGGGGCTGTTAAGTGGGACCACTCTGTTGTGAGGGGACAGGCTCAAGCGGTGACTGAGTGTGTCCAGAAGAGAACACTTTGCTTTCTGAGACTGGACCCAGTTCCTTCAATACCTGAGCATCTGCTGAGCACTCAGAAATGGGGGCTCACATCCAGCGGCCTCTACAACTAAGAGGGACTCCCTCTGACAACATCAGCATGCACCCAGCTCACTGGGCCAGCCCTCTGGCTCACACGGAGTCCCTCCACGGTCAGTGGATTGCTCCAGAAAGGACTCTACAAGGAGACAGGTGCTCGACACAGGGGATGGCTCCTGAATCCTTCCACGTGGGATCAATGAAACCGCCATGCAGCCTTCCCAAGGATCACCCCTGACGAGCACCGTTCGCGGCAGAGATCTCGGGGTGGAGCCCTTTTCCGGACTGACTAGGACATGGGGTGGTTTCGTGTGGCTACCTGAAACGTGCGAGTTTATGTCCTCCCTGCCCCACGAACGTAAGGTCCGGAGGGCAGGGGCCCTTGCTTTTGCGGGCTCCACGGTCCCACAATCAATGAGCGTGTGGGGAGACACAGGGAGGCCACGGCGCCTGACTCGAGCCGAGCGTCCGCAGGCGGCCAAGCAGAGAGGTGGCAACTCACAGCTGGCGTGGGAGCGGCTGTCGTCCTCGCACATCTTGTGCAGCTGCTGGTACTCCTCCTGAGCCAGCTCGAACCGCTGCTGCTTGACCTGGTAGATCTCCTTCTTGGCGTTGAGGGCCTCCTGGGCCACAACCAGGTACTCCTTGAGCATCCGCTCCTGCTCGCGCCGCCACTGCTCCCTGGGGTCCTCGAGCTGGGTAAGCTCTGAAAGTGAAAGGCCAAGAACGTAAGTGCCTTAACGGTAACGTCTTCAGGGTGACCGGCCGTCGGGCAGGTAGTGACCCGAAAATCAGTGAATTGCTGGGACACGCGGGCCGGAAGCATCTACGGAACGAAGCTTCCCCACGTGTGGAACACCTTTTGTTCACGTGTCCACGGCTGAGGTGAGAAGAAAACTATGGATATGCAATGGTGGGCTGGGGGTGGGAGGGGTGAAGACGGTACCACACAATTTTTTACTGTGAATAAACACTGGCGGAGATGAAACCAGAGGGCTTATCACAGGCAAACCTTTTGAAGATTTTATGTAAGAGAGAGAGAGAGAGAGAGAGAGAGCACGCGCACATGCAGGGGGAACGGCAGAGGCAGAGGGCGAAGCCAGCCCCCACTGAGCAGAGAGCCCGACGTGGGGCTAGATCCCAGGACCCCAGGATCATGACCTGAGCTGAAGGCAGACGCTTCACCCACTGAGCCCGTAGGCGCCCCTTGTCACAGTCGAACTAACGGCTACCTCCAACCTTCTCGCTGGCTTCTTTGGCCCCGGACGCCCCTCTGATGCAGCTTGCTCCCCTTCCCCTTGCCTCGGCCCCGGAGCTGCAGCCCTTCTGAGTTCTCTGCCGGCTTCCTCATCTCCTGCCACCTATACATTCCCTCCTTTTCCATTCCGGCTTTCTCACTCTACGAGGGAGGCTCATGCCTCCCTCTGGCTCCAGCCTCTCTCCTGGGCTCCCACTTTTCTTCCAACTGCCTCCTAGACGCATCTCTACCTGGACAGGCCCAGAGAAATTTTGAGTCAGTCATCCAAAGCAGATCTCATTCTACACAGCTCCCTTTTACTACCAGAACCAGAACCAGAACAGTGACCCTGCAATCACCCGCTTCTCCTCCTGCCTCCCCTCCAGAAGTGAGCAGCAGCACCTGGATCTATCCACTTGGCCACCCTGGGACTCATCCTCAGACAAAGCTTGCTCGTCTCCCTCACCCAGAATCATCCGCTGGTCATCAAGAACTGGGGATTCCTGCCCCTAGAATTAATAATGACTGGCGACATACCCTTCATTCCCTCTCCCCTAAGTTCGCTCAGATCCCCATGACTCCCCTCCAAAACCACGCAGGCTTCCTGTCTCATCCCAGCAAAGGCCACGCTCAGTGCACTCACCAGAGACGCCTTCCTAACTCTGCTTGCGACTCTTTAGCACATGAGTATAGCAGTATCCTCCCCGTGATCAGGAGTCCCGAAACTCACTCACCAGCTCCATTTCTGGTTTCTGTCCTTTCCCCCCACAGACACCCTACACAGGATCAATTTTTCCCAAGCGCCACTACTTCTGTCATTTTCCGCCCACCAGGAAACCCGACCATCTTCCAAGTCCCTCTGTGAAAGCCCCTCCTTTCTGAAGCCTCCTCTGCCCCCTACCCCAAGCACACCCACCTCTCTGCAATGGGCAAGACTGCAGTTCTTACCACTGAGCACGCAAGTGCTGCCACGCTTCTGTCCCCATTCCCCGCCACTCCGCCCCCACCAAACTCCAGGCTCCTCAAAGGCAGGCACACGGCCTCAGCCAGCGTTCTATCCTCAGGACCTTCCATTCACCTGAAAGCCAGAAGGCCATCGCTAACTGGCGACTGCAGGCTCATTGATGAGGATGGAGGGGGCCGTGTGCTCCACAGGCAGAAGACCGAGGTCCTGAAAGTTGATCCGGGCTTTGAGGATACAGACTGAGCAAACGGGGCAAGTCACCCAGACTCGGAAAAGGCTAGCCTCCTTCACTGCAGCAGATCTCCTAACGGAGATTTCAACACAAGTGTTGTTGCCTCAACAAAGTAAAAAACACAAAGCCATGTCCCTGTTCCCAACTCAGAGACCCCAGGCGATGGTGGCTGTTTTACCGATGACATATTGGTAAACACATGCAGGCTGCTGGCAGCCAAAACAAAATAAGAGCGAGCTCCGACAAGAGAAGTGCAGGCAACATTCCCCCAACCCAAATTTTAAGTAAATATCCAAATCACTGTATGTTACCTACCTAGAATTGAAATAAAAATTTGAAAAAATAAAAGTAAATAAAGTGTGCAACGTAATTCTTTTAAAATGTGCCTGGGGAGCTCCCCTCTATTTGCTAGATGGGATGCCACCTAATTTCCAAACTGTTTAATAAAACCAATTACATCTTAATAAATAAGTTAATTAATTTAATTAAGTGTGCTTGGCCAGCACTGTAACAGCCAAAAGGTGGAAACAACCTTAATTCCAGCAACTGATGAATGAATAAATAAAACACGGTGTCTCTGTGCAATGGAAGGTCATCCCGCCATAACAGGAATGAGGTGCTGCTTCATGCCACAATACGGATGACCCTCACACATGTCATACCGAGTGAAAGGAATCGGATACAACAGGCCACGTAGGGTACAATTCCGTCTATATGAAATGTCCAGGAGAGGCAATCCAGAGACAGAAAGGACGTTTCATGGTGGCCAGGGGCTGGGAGCCTGGAGGAGAAATGGGGAGTGACTGCTAATGGGCTCCAGGTTTGACTGCGGGGTGAAGAAATGTTCTGGAACTAGACAGAGGTGGTGGCTTGTACAACACAGAACGCACCAAATACCACTGACCTCTGTGCTTTAAAATGGTTAATTTCATGTTCTGTGGATTTCATCTCAAAATGATTGGAAAAAGTAAATGTTACGTCATGTTTACTTTACCAAAGACACACACACACGCCTGCTAGGATGTCTCAAGGAAGTTCTCTCTTGAAACCACCTTTCGCCAACATCCCCTACCCCCCAACAATGCCACCCCAGGCCCCTACTGGAAAGCCCCTCCAGGCCCCAAAAGCTCACACCAGGAAATAAGAAACCAAATAAAACAACAAAAATCAGGGTCCTGAGCTAGCCCGAAGCTCACATTTGGGGGGCCTAGGGCGGGGCCGACTCACAGCTGTAAGCCGCCGGAGTCGCTGCTGTCTATGCAGCACAGAGCCCACCATAGCCCGCAGGCACTGGCTGCACTCTGTACAGTGCACCTGAGGCTCTTGGGAGCCTGGAAGGTGGTCAACCCAGGGACCCTCTGGTCCCTCACACCCCACCAACAACCTGCACATTTCCAATTTAGTACCTGACTCCTCAGGTTCTGTGCCTTTAAAGAGTTTTAGAGCTGTGCTATGAAGACTTGGGTTCTTGGGAGCAAGTTTTCTGGAATGCAGTGTTTGGCCCCCATGTACAAATTATGGAACAATAATCACCTTTCTTATTCCCGAAAGAAAAAAAAAAGTTGGGTTCTCTGATGTCTTCATCACCCACAGCGCTGAGTCATCCCACTTATACTCACAGTGGCTGGAAGAAAGTCCTTGGTGATTACTCAGTTTTTGGGTTCATGGCCACATCTAGTGTCATGTAGAATCCTTGAGGGTAGACACTGGGTCTCACTTCCTTGAGTTCCCAGAGCCCCGAGTGACTAGCACAGAGAGGTGCTCTAGAACACTCCCTGTGACAGTGAACAAGTGAGCAAGGAGCACCCACGGTTCCCACAGAAGGGGGCATGGAGGGATGAGGAAGCTGGGTTTACAAGGGGCGAGCCAGAACGGGTCCAGGACCTCAGTGGCAGGCAGACTTTCCAGAAAGGTTGTGTAAGGCAGATGCCTCTGCCATTCAGTAATACCACCTGGGCTCAGGGAAGCCCTGGTGCACAGGTGCCCAGGCCCAGACTGCAGCAACCCTCACTGTGGGAGTGGCCGTCACCTGCAGGGGCAGCTTCACCTGTGGGAGTAGGCACCCAACTGTGGGAGCGGCCCTCACCTGTGGGAGTGGGTTACCAACTGTGGGAGTAGCCCTCACCTGAGGGAGCATCTTCACCTGCGGGAGCAGCCCCCACCTGTGGGAGCAGCCCTCACCTGCAGGAGCAGTCCCCACCTGCGGGAGCAGCCTCACCTGTGGGAGCAGCCCCTCACCTGCGGGAGCAGCTTCACCTGCGGGAGCAGCCCCACCTGCGGGAGCAGCCCCTCACCCGCGGGAGCAGCCCCTCACCCGCGGGAGCAGCCCCTCACCTGCGGGAGCAACCTCACCAGCCGCGGGGAAGGCAAGGTGGGACAGCAAGACCTCTGGAACACGCCCAGTCCTGGGGCACCAGGTGGGCCAGGGCTCCCGGGAGGGCCGCCTCAGCTGCAGCCTCACCACGCACCACGCTCTGCCGGGGGTGGTGGGGTTCCCAGAAGCCCTCCACCACTCACACCCCGGGCTCCGCAGGCGCGAGGCCCCCTGCGGTGCCAGCAACTCCGCCGCCCCAGGCCGAGAACGGCAGCCTCGCCGTCCAGGTTCCGAACCGACTCGAGGCTGGCCAGGAAGTGCCAGGTAGAGACGCCATGAGGGGGCGGCGGGCGGAGCAAGGCGAGGGCGCCCATCACCCACCGGCGATCACCCACCGCCTCGGGCCCTCCCCGCCTCCCCCGCACTTAATCACGCGGAGGGAACACACACTGAGGGGGGCCGCACTTCGTGTCCCCAGGAGCGCAAGGTAATGCCCCGCAGAGACACTGGGGAAGCCAGGACGCCATCAGAGGAGTGGGTCCCCCGCTGGGGCAGCAGGAGCGGCCGTCGAGCACCCGGAGCAGAGCCGTGAGCCGGGTGCGAGGGTCGGCAGCACCCTGGGCCCGCTCACTAGGTGCCAGGAGCACCCTTCCGCCCGTGACAATGAAGATGCCTCTGGACACTGCCCACTGGTCCCGGGAAGCAAAACCAGCCCTGGTCGAGAGGCGCTCGCGGCTCTGACCGATGCCTTGGCCTGCTCAAGCACGCACTGTTATTTTAGCCGTAGTCTTTACACAGTTTTCTCCCTTCACAAAGCTCAGAAAGGTTTGGTATATGGAAGTTAAAATTAAACGTGTAAGACAAAATGAAGTTAAGGTCATCGCTTGGGCGTTTATTGTTCCAAGAACCTGTAAGCTCCACTTTGCAATAAACAACCTTCTCACTATGAAAGGTATTTCTATTTCCAGACTGCCTGGGAAATTTATTCCTTTTATTAGACATTAAAACCCTCTGTTAGGGGCAGCCCGGGGCGCTCAGTGGTTTAGCGCCGCCTTCAGCCCAGGGTGTCATCCTGGAGACCCGGGATCGAGTCCCACGTCGGGCTCCCTGCATGGAACCTGCTTCTCCCTCTGCCTGTGTCTCTGCCTCTGTGTGTGTGTGTGTCTCATGAATAAATAAATAAAATTTTTAAAAAATATAAAAAATAAAAAATAAAATAAAACCCTCCGTTAAACATATTCCATGCAGTCCTGAGCAACACACAAGCAAGGGAGCTACCCAACTGCCTCATGTTTTGAAGAACTCAACAAACTAAAACTTCAGGTGACATTTGTGACATCCAGCTTACCACCGCAGTGGGTGGTAACGATTGTTTCAGCTCTACAAAATGAGTTCTTGGCATCTTTGAGATCAACCTGAAAAGCCATTCACATATAATAACTCAAATGTGGCAGTCTACTTACTATTTATGTGGTCCATGTAATAAATTCCAATTTGTTTATCGTATACAGTCTCCCATCCTAAAGGAAGCTCATCCCCAACGCAATCGGCAAAAGTCAATGGCTTTGTTATCCTGCAAAATAAAATGATGAAAGCAAATTTGAAAGGTCAATTTCATTAAGTTTGCTGAATCAACTCTAGAATTAGATATTATCTCATCTAACTGACTGCTTTTGCTCCATTTAGTCGGGAAATGAATTCACCCGCTTTGCCTAAATACTAATCAGCAACAATATCAGTACACTTGCAGTTAAAAGCGTTCCTATCTCAACGTGCAACTTTAAAGAGCGAAAATAGATATGGGCAGTTACAAAACAGGTAAAACGAGCATTTTCTTCCAAGCAGTATGTTTAATGAGGTGATGACACTGGAACCTCCACGATAGAACACCTATATTTTGGTCTCATTCCCTTACAAAATGCCCCCCACCTCAGCTGTCTGTCGCCATACATCACAGCTGAAATCTATCTAAAAGGTATCGGTAGGTTTCACCTACCAGAGGTCATTGGTTAAGGAGGTAAACGTTAACCACCGACCAAATGCAAAAAGCCCAACAGGCCTGGTAAGAATACAAGGACACACCTACTGAACACTGGCCGTGTTCCTTATACTGTAACAGTCAGAAATTTGCAAAGGGTCCTTTTTGTTTTCTGGAGAAAAACAAAAGCACACTGTCTACAGATCTCTCTCCTTGAAGTAAATGTGACTAAGGAAACCTTGGCTTCTTGACATAGACAGATAAAGGGTTTCCAGATGGCTTTCTTTAGGGAGAACCTCCCCCTCCCCCATATCCCATGATCACACTGATTGACAAGACAGCTGTTGTATAAAATAGGCCACACCTTATAATTGTCTGAGTCTGGGCAGCTATCTCCTAGGCTGTCTCTATAAATGCACACTGACTGGTATGCATGGGAATCCGATAACCTCAATTTCACTAACTCAATCCTCCCACATCTTCTGTTCAGGTCCCTGGCCCCAGGAAAGTGAGATACCACAACCACGGCCAAACCTCACATGACCAGTATGAATTCTGAACATGTTATTTCCCCAAACTGGTTAGACAACAAGGCTCTGTCTCTCCCAGAAACATTTAGAAACCGATAAACACCATCAGAATGGCACATACTATAATTCGTCTTCATTTCACACACACATTTTTAAGACGTCAGAGTCAATATCAAAACAGAAATATACAGAAGGTAAACTGCACCGCAGACAGCCTGCCATATACAACGCACTCGAAAATGCACAGCATCTCAGGATGAGCCTACTGCATGCGTCTGTCCCATTCCACAACGCCAATGTCTGTGGCACGATTCCTTTGCAGGCCACGAGTGGCGTGATGGTGGTGTGTTCCAAGTCAAGCAAGTAACAGTAGGGCGACAGGCATGATTCAAGTCCCGAATGGGACCAAACCACAATAAAAACAATGCTACTTTAAGATATATGGAGTCCTGGGCACATCTCTGCCATTTCAGGGTCACACATAAGCTCAAGAGAAAAATGCCCAAGCACAGGTACATTCTGAGCACGTTCACGTCTATGATCTCATTTTATCAACAGATAGAGGTGGGAAACCTAACCTTACAGCACTACTAAGCCCACATCACTTCTTAATTGAGAACTGTTATAAAACCATTTTAATACTGATGTAGTGAAATGCCGGGACACCTGCACCCCAGTGTTCATAGCAGCAATGTCCCCAATAGCCAAACTGTGGAGGGAGACTCGGTGTCCTTCGACAGATGAATGGATAAAGATGTGGTCTATGTATACAATGGAATATGACTCAGCCATTAGAAAGGACGAATGCCCACCATTTGCTTCAACGTGGATGGACCTGGAGGGGATTATGCTGAGTGAAGTAAGTCAATTGAAGAAGGACAATCATAGATTAGCTCCTTGAGAACAATTATCCCATTTCAATTGCCTTTGACCCCTAGTATCTGAGCTAGGAATAAAGAGCTTGCATTTTTACCAACAGTTTGCTAAGGGGATTAATACAACGCACCCAAGCACTCTCCTACTATTGACAGCTACATTACTTCCTAACTTCTGTTACTATATTCATAAGCACTGCTTTGGAAAACACTGCAGCCATTTCTCAAAAACAGTTAAATACTGAGTTTCCATATGACCCAGCAATTCTACATCTAGATGTATACCCAAGAGAAACGAAAACGTATGTCCACACAAATCAATGTCCATACTGGCATTACTCACCTTAGCCAAACGGTGGAAACAAATAATGATTATCAACTGACGAATGATAAATAGAACATGGTCTACCGATTCAATGGCATATTACACAACCATTAAAAAAAGAACGGAGTACAACACATGCTACAATGTGGATGGACCTTGAAGTCACTGTACTGGGTAAGAGAAGCCAGACACAGGCCATGTGTTGTATGGATCCCTCTGTAAGAAATGTCCAGAACAGGCAAATCCATGGAGACAGAACATAGATCAGTGGTTGCCAGGAGCTGGGGGAGAGGACACAGGAGTGACTACTAATAGGTACGGGGCTTCTGTTGGGAGTAATAAAAATGTTGTGAAATGAGACAGTGGTGATGGCTGCCCAACATGAATATATGGAAATCTCATGAACTGTACCCTTTAAGTGGTGAGTTTCGTGCTATATGTGATTTACATCCCAATTTTTAAAACTATTATGAAAGGAACATCTATGTGTACTATAAAGCTCATAATCTGTATTTATAATTCTTTTCCTCGAAAAGGTCCAAGAAGTAAATTTTCAAGGCTGAAGAATATGGAGTTCTTTTCTCTATATCTCAAATTCAATGTAGAACATTCACAGTAAAGTATTAAGAATAGGAAATAAAATCATCTAAAACCCAGAAGCCCAGGATTCATGTTTTCGTTTATTTTCCTCTCTTCTTTGTCCTGCAGCTCATTTTTCCACCGCTAATATCATACCACAATGTCACACACTGATTTGCTTATTTCCTCATGGCCTTACCTCCTTGTCAGTACCACTGTCTGTCATGCTAGAATCTTCCATCATTTGCAGTAAAGCATAATTCATTTACCAGGCACCTCCAGTCATCTCTTTAGGTGAATAATTTTCTGCTCTTTAACTGTGAATAACGAAATGAGCCTCCAGGAATCACCTGATATGAACTGCCGAGGTGTGTTACCCTCAGCACACTCCTACCGGCGAAGTAAGAGATGGCCTTTTTCATTACCCTCTGGGGATATCTTCAATGCACTTGCTCAAGCACTCAGAGGAAACCCGTGTGGCACAATCATGTTTTACTTTCAAGGAACAAGTTGGTAGGGAGTACAGTGTTAAGTTTAAGAGTGTTTTCAGAACACAGGGGAGATGGGGAAACAGGGTAAGCAACCAACTGAGAAGCAAGGTACCCACCGTCCCCAGGCTTCAAAGCGAGCTCTGACATTGGCCAGCTCTCACCGGTCCATTCACCCCATCCCCCTATCTGAGCAACACTGGCCCAGAAAGGTGCCCTCGACCCCCTACCCAGAGAGATTCCCACTGCAGATCCTCCCATTAATGAGTGGCTCTTCTTGGCCTCAGCAAAGGAAATGAATATATTTTGCTGGCCAATCTTACCAGACTCGGTCCACCAGAAGGGAGAGAATGATGGATGGCACAGATGCTGGCTTCATTGTGTTCCCTTTTGCCTGTCACATCCTGCAGGGCTCTTTAAGAAGTGGCACTAAGCCATCTCAGTCATCTCAGTCAAAGCCAGTTCCAAGAGAGCCCCTTCATTGCCATGAAACTCTGGATAATTCCTTTGGTTTCTCTCTGGGCCTCAGTTTCCCAATCTTCAAAATGGGGATGATCAAACAAGCCTGCCAGGGTCACGCTGGCCAGATGCAGCCTCTCCACTGACAGCGCGGAGACCAGCTCCATCCACTCCCCTTCCTGCCTCCCTCTCAGCTCTCCAGCAGCCTCCCTTCAGACTGTATTTGTTTCCTTTTGCCGCTGTAACAAACTGTGACAAACCTGGTGGCTTTAAACAACACAAATGTTGTTGTGGAGATCAGAAGTGCAGCTCAGGGGCAGCCTGGGTGGCTCAGTGGTTTAGCGCCTGCCTTTGGCCCAGGGTGTGATCTTGGAGACCTGGGATCGAGTTCCACATCGGGCTCCTTGCTGCTTCTCCCTCTGCCTGTGTCTCTGCCTCTCTCTCTGTGTCTCTCATGAATAAATAAATAAATAAAATCTTTAGGAAAAAAAAAAAAGAAGTGCAGCTCAGTTTCACAGAACTCAAACCAAAGTGCCAGTCAAGCTGCATCCCTTCTGGAGGCTCTAGGGAGGAAATGTGTTCTCTTGACTTTCCAACCTCCACCGTCTTCAAACTCAGCCACAGCCAGCCGAGTCTTTCTCAGGATGCCATCTCTCTGGTTTTCCTTCTTCGACTTACAGAGACCCTTGTGATGACACTGGGCCCACCCAGATATTTGGGATAATCTCCCCACTGCAAGATCCCTAACTCAATCACACCTGCAAAGTCTCTTCTTGCCAGGTCAGATAACACAGTCACAGTTTCCAGGGATTAGGACGTGGACATCTTTGGAGGCCATTATTCAGCCAACCACTGCCAGCCACTGGGGAGGGCAGTTGGTAGCAATCCTGTGCCTCAAAGATCAGGCCCTCCTTCCCTGCCATGCTTAGGGGGCTGGAATCTCTGGCAGCAACCGCACCAAAATGCAGAGAAGTGGAGGTGGGCAGCAGAGGGTGAAGGCAGAGAGAAAAGTTTAACCACTGATTCTTCACACATTTTCCTTATCAAAAGGAGACCAGGATGATCCTACGCACTTGTACTATACTTTCCAGTCTCCTGGAACAAGATAATCGTTCTATTTCAAATTCATGCTTGTTTTTAATATGTTATTCAGAGGAGATACTGTTTGTTTTTATTTCAGTTCCAAACCAATCCTCAAGAAATTATAATGACTTCCCTTCACCTTTTCTGACATACCTGGCTCACAATAAGTTTTCCAGCCTGCTGGAACAGGGACAAGGAGCAGCAATGATGCTGTCGTTTCCACCAATCCCCTGCTTCGTTTTCCTCGTAGGCACAT